CTCAGGCGGCGGCTCGCCGAACCCCTGAGGAAGGGGCAGGCGGTGGTTGGCATGTTGCTGGTGGGGGAGACCCCGGGGGCCCACGGGTTTCATGTTCTCTGTGGTACACTTGGCCAGGTACACCAGCACCATGCCGAAGAGGGCCAGCACCACCAGGCCCAGCGCCGTCTTGTGGCGGCATAGCAGCCTCAACACGTTCATGGCGGACACCGGATTCTATTTTTTTTAGGTCTCAGCCGGTCATTCTCTCACCAATAGGATTAGATTTCCCGCGCTACGGCGCCAGCTGTTCGGCGGGTCACGTGACCAGCACCGGCGCGTGAGCCGGGACCAGCACTCTCATCGGATCCTTCAGCCGGCTATGTGCAGCCCGGTGTCAGCGCTTCGCTACCTCCACTGTACAGGCTGCAGAGCCAGGCACGTCCGACATCACCGGGAGGCAGGAGTGAACCACCAAACAAGCTGATCCGGGTGGCGGCCCCGCTGCATTGTGGGAGATGTAGTTTACCAGCTTCCGGGTATCGCTTGCTGACCGACGGTGTACTGGAAGTCTGGTTACTATGGCAACAAAGGCACTCTGTACAGAACTATGTAGGGGTACCAAGCCCAATGTACCTCACATTTTGGGACACGGCAGGAAATTATTCTCATTAGAACCAATGTTTTATAATCTGTATGTTTTGTAATCTGTATCTTACATTCTGCCTTTTTTTGGTATGCTGTATAGACCTTCATAATAAAATGCACTATTTAACCACTTCAGTACCAGTATCTTAAACCCTCTTCATTACCAGGCTCATTTATTTTGTTTTTCAGTGCTATGAATGTTTTAGAATTTCACAACACTGAAACCAAATTATTTAGGGAGGACTCAACAAAACTGGAGTAAACAGATTCTGGAGCTGTTGCCCCGGGCAACCAATCAGTTTTTTCATTTAAGCTTACAAAATGAGAGATAGAAGCTGATTGGTTTGCCATGGGCAATTTCTGCAGATTTCGTCTGCTCCAGTTTTGATAAATTACCCTCCCCTCATTGTATATTATCTTTTTCTTATGTCACCTAGACTGACTTGCTCTGCCCCTTTGTTTACACTCAGGAGCTGAGCTGTCATTAGCGGCCAGCGTTCGGTAAGTGCGGACAATGGGGTTTTTTTCTTTCGTCGGGTTGACATTGTGATTGACAAGTATCTACATCCACCTGATTGGCGGTGGATTTACATCATGGGCCTTTTTGTTTTTTGTTTTTTTAATTAAAGGATTTGTCAAAAAACTGTGTGCTGTGTTTATTTACTAATAAAGGACTTTACTTATCAGTGTGGTGTATTCATTTACAATTTTACTGTTTATTTGGTGAATGAGTAGGGGTAACAACTACAAGGGGGGGCGGCGCATCAGATTATCTTAGATTCAGATAAGCCCCCCAGCCGCTGGCCCCTCACAACCACCGGTCCAGGGTTGTGGGGAATAGGCCCTTGTCCTCATCAACATGGAGACCCTGCCCCGATCATCCCCTCCTTCCTTTCCTGCTCTGCCAGGCTGCTGCTGGGATCAAGGATCTGGTAAGGGATTTTGGGGGGCACCCTACGCTTTTTATATTTTGCATGGGGTCCCTACACTGTTTTTTCAAAGTTTTCATGTTTAACAACATACTAAACTCTATACAAATAGATTTAAATGGATCCGAAAACGGATCTAACTGAACATCAAACGGATCAGAATTTCAGAAAATGGGGAAAGAAAAAACAAAATGAAACAAAATTTTCAGCCATGCACATGTCTATGTCATCGTCCTTGCTGGACAGTGGCACAGGCTTTCTGGTGGGCTATGTACACTTTTAGGTAGGCTATGTGCGCTCTCAGGTGGGCTATCCAGGCTCTCAGATGGCTGTGTGGGGTCTCAGGTGGGCTATGAGGGCTCTCAGGTGGATTATGCTAACTCTCAGGTGGGCTCTGAGAGCTCTCAGATGGCTTTGTGGGGTCTCAGGTGGGCTATGCGGGCTCTCAGGTGGACTATGCTAACTCTCAGGTGGGCTCTGAGAGCTCTTAGATGGCTTTGTGGGGTCCCAGGTGGGCTATGCGGGCTCTCAGGTGGACTATGCTAACTCTCAGGTGGGCTATGTGGGCTCTCAAATGGCTGTGTGGGGTCTCAGGAGGGCTATGCGGACTCTCAGATGGCTGTATGGGGTCTCAGGTGGGCAGATTGAGGGTGAGGGAGGCTGTGGAATGGTATCATGTTCCATATTACACCCTAAACATAGATGTAATATGGAATTAGCATTTATAATGGGTGGTAAATGACACAAAGTAGCAACGCCTGGTCATTTACACCAATATGTAGGTTTTTGTTTTTTTAGTTGGCCATGTAGAATTATTTTCCCACATCGGCATGTGAGGATACTGAAGCTTTGATTGTGAGCCAAGTCTTTAAGCCTTTCATCGCAGTAATTTGGATTCTTGCTGTAAACTGTACTCTTCCCAGCTCCAAACCGAGAAATCAGTGATTATGCGCTGTGAAGGTAGGAAAGTGTCTCTTTGATCAGTTCGCATATGTTGGCTGAATAACTAAACTCATTTCCTTAGAAAAGCAGCTGCATATCATTTCTTTGGAAAACATTCCCTCAAACCACACTTTCATATCTGTTTTATCTCGCTAGAATCAGCGGAAACCGCAAACAAATCGGATATTGGTTTTATTTTATTTGGAAACACCAAAGGGCATGATACATTACCTAGTGGAGATGTAAAGGGTCAGTCCAGTGAAAAGTGATATTTTAGTTTTTGGTAGAAGCTGGAGAGTTGCACCACCTGTCAGTTACTTATACCCGGATTGGTACACTCTCAACATTTACCTTGGTACGGACATAGACAGGAGGAAGAATCTGCGGGAGCTTGAGCATTGCACCCATGAGCCAATGATTGTGGTTGCAATGCTTTCCTGGCTCCAATGCAAAAAAAAAAACCAAAACAATATATGCTCATTTTTTCTTTGAAGAAGAAATATGCATTTATTATTTCTTCCTAAATCTGGATTTTGTCTTCACTGTGGGAGGACAATAAGTTCTTACCCTCACCATGATCTAGATGTGCTAGGGATCTGAAATGTTGCAGGTTTATAGGTGGATATCTTAGTAATATGCATGCCAATTTTTGTAGGTTGTGGTGAATTATAGTTAGAGCCAAGGGAAATGGAGTAGGTGTCATGCCGGACAAAGTTAAATACCGAGCAGTGATTAGGTTCCTCCATCTTCAAGGGAAATCTGTCCAAATAATCGAGCTGCAGAAACTGTCACTTTTGTTCGCGATTGTGGCCCCATCCACCTTACTCACCTGACCTGGCACCTTTGGACTTCTTCCTGTTTCCAAATCTGAAGAAACATTTACGGGGAAGACGTTTCCACAATGATGAGGCCGTCATTACTGAAGTTGATAAACTCCATAACAAAGACTAGAGGCCAGCACCTAAAATTGGAGGAGAAAAGATTTAAGCACAAGGGGCGTAGGGGGTTCTTCTCATTTAGAGCGGTTAGGGTCTGGAACTCGCTGCCGCAAACAGTGATTTCAGCTGAGAGTGCTGAATCATTGAAAAAGCGTTTGGTTGTTGTTTCACTTTGGAGTTTACCTGCATTGTTACCATTTATTCTATCAATAAAAACTAACATGCTGAAAAAAAAAAGCGTTTGGAGGATATCCTCAGAGACCGTAACATACAGGGGTACAGGTACACTTAAGAACAAGATCACACAGGGACTCATACACACGCATACACATGCAGAATCACATGCATACACGCAATAGGTTGAACTTGATGGACCTGTGTCTTTATTCAACCTCAAATACTATGTAACTATTGTAATGTTGGGGAGCTCACAGAGCACTCGCACAGGCTTTTCCTTTAACCAAAAGTCTTTATTATTCTTACGTAGCATAAAAGAGCTTTAATTCAGCAACATACAGTCCAATATGTCTCAGCAAGTACAGTCTTAAGTACACCTCTGTGTGATACTCACAACAATCACCCCTCGTGAGCACTCACACTGCTCTCTCAGCAGTGTGTCCACCAGGTCTCTTGGGTCACCAACCTTCCCCAGACTCCCCTGGCTGTTCCACATGCGTCCAGCATACACAGCAAGTCTGCTTGTGGTCGTGTGCCTCCTGCACACCCACACACCACTGGCTTGGCTCGACCCTCGTGTGCCTCCAGCACACACCACCAACTCCTCCTCTGAGCTCTGGTCTGAGCTCTTAATGAGGCTACTCTCAGCCACCTGATCACCAGCAACACCTGACCTCAGGACTAGAGATTTCATCCCACCCAGAACACTAAGAAATCTCCAGAGATCCAGATCCCAGCTACAATCCGGAAAAACTGGAAGAAACTGAAAGGCCAACTTCTTCACTGCAGAACTATTTGCATTCTGGAACCTCTCAGCCCCTCTGGCTGAGAGTCCTGGGTGACCATGTTGCCAGCATACTCCGTGGCATTGCCACGCACTGCCACACTATGTAACTATGATGGCTGGTTTTCCTCCAAATCTGCATACTTCTACGCAGATGGTATTTAAGGTCTGTTCCACAGATGTGAAAAGTGTGTAACCATAGGTATAGGCAGGGCAGCCATCAGAAATTTTGGGGCCCCTTACACGGCTTTAGGCCGGGCCCCCCCCCCTGCGCTGCTGGACGCAGGGCTTAGTGACGTGCTGGACGCAGGGCTTAGTGACGCGCTGGACACAGGACCCACCTGAGAGTGACCCTGCAGAGCCCACCATAGATGCTGCACAGCCCATCTGAGATTGTCTATGGTGGGCTCTGAAGGGGTCTCAGGTGGGCTGGTCAGGGCTGCATCCCTCCCCTCCCTCCTTTCCTTTCTTCCTTCCTAGCTCCTCTTACCTGCACACATGGCCTCGTCTGCCGCCGGACTGGCCAGAAGTGACGTCGCTGATGGGGCCCTAGCTTGTCTCAAAGCTGCTGGAGCGGCAATGCTAGGGCCAGGCCTCTGCCACCTCGCCCTTCACCGTCAGCCGATAGTCATGTAAGGGACCTGGGCGGGCCCCCCGGGCTGCCTGGGCCCCTTACATGAGTTTCGGCCGTACCCCCCTGATGGCTGCCCTGGGTATAGGTAACCAAGATATCCACCTATAAACCTGCATAATTTCAGATCCCTAGCACATCTAGATCTTGGAGAGGGTAAGAACTTATTGGCCTCCCTCTTATATAAGCTTAGCTGGTCTTCACTCTCATGAAGATCTGTATTCAGCAATCCCAAGCCAGAATGGAAACGCGCTTGATGCGCTGATGATACTTGAATGCTTTGTGAACACTTCCTTAATCCTCCTCAGAGTTGCATGTATGAGCTAAGAATAATAAAAAAAAAAAAGGGTAGTGTGTACTGAGCATTGGTTTCCTCCGTCCTCTCCAGTTTCAAACTTTTATTGAATCAGTTACAGAAACAGACGAAAA